GGGAAAATGGCTTCCGGGATTCCACATCCTGGATCGTGACTTTCACTATCCGACTTCGGAATGCGGCTTAGGGTATAGGAGAAGTCCAGACGTCGGAGCCACTTGCTCTTCAGAGTCAACGCACGCACTTCCTGGGACAACACCGATAGGTTCTCCTGACCGGGGATATGGATCGGCGCCCCGGCACGACTCAGCAGGGCGTCTTTATCCGGGCCGTAAATGTCGCGTAGGCCTTGCAGAACATCCAGGCTGACACCACTAAACGATATAGACCGGAAGGACTCGTTATATCGCAGTGCTCGCAGGACGGCGATCAGCTCCAAAGCGGTATACTTCTTCTGCCGAGCGGAGGCGGGCGGCAGGAGCCTGAAACACGGGGCGTCATCGCATTGCACATCAATGGTATATCGGATGTTGGAAGTGTCGATGTCGTAGCTAGCCGAGTAGGCGACTAAGGTCCGGTCGAAGCAACCGTAATCCTCGTCCAAGCTCACCGGAGGGAAGTTGCTCTCGTTGTCGAGGTCCCGAGGGACGATGAAGTCATACGGTTGTTTGATCCACAAGGGACGTAGGAACTCGGTCTGTTGTCGAATCCAAAAGGCAATCTCCACGGAATGCACGGATGCGAGGAAGACCGAGAACGGTTTCCGCGTTGGCACACGGAACGTTAGATGCAGGCTATCGTCGCCCCATTCCATGGAGAGACAGGTCAGGTTCATCAGTCCGAAAGAGGTTGCCGCATCCAGGTCACTCAAGGATACCACGGAGCTGCGGCTGGAGATCTTGTGCAACGGGATCAGGTGGAGCTTGTGCGACCCAAGGGCGAGATAACAGCCCGTCGGTGACAGCTTGGTAAGATCTTCAGATGATGCCCGTGCAGGAGACTTGCTGGACGCCATCTGGATGACCCGAAACATTCGAAAGGTCTCTGGATCATAGTCCCGTTCATACTCGAGCATGCGGACCACGCAATCCGCCGTCTTTTGATCGAAGATCAGCGGGTCGGCCCCGCGGATCAATTCCGCCGCGGAGCGTATGCCTACCATCCACAGATTCAGTTCCTGGAAGTCGGGCGTCTGCATCTGGATGAAGGTGGCTTTTTGAGCCCGTTCATCCACATAGGCCACCTCCACCGTTGACGACGGTCGGCCATCGTCCAACATGTAGACCGCAATGATGCTGTTCAAGGCAATGCCGGAAATGGACTCGCTCGCAGCGGCCAGCTGGGGGTCCTGCAGGGAACTGATGGAGGCGACGGACTGGCGGTTGGCCGCCACTGAGCGGGAGGTGAAGGAAGCCGGGATCGAGGGAAACATATCGGCGGCTTTGCTCTGGTTCTTGAACCGGACGAGATGCGTGTCGGTCAGGACCAGGTAATGGCTCTTCTTCCGCCACATGCCTCCGGTGATGGAGATCTCTCCATGGTGCAGGATGATGGAGCCAATGCCTTGTCGCAGCTCGGGAGGGTCCTCGTCCAGGGACGAGCCTTTGGAGCGGCCCAGCGACCGGTCGTCATCTTCTTGGGAATGTAGCGACCGAAGGGAACCAAACACGGAGGTTCGTCGTTTCTGTAGGGATTTCCGCCGGCTGCGAGGACCCTCGAGCGCCACGGTAGGCAGCGCGGTCACGTAGGTGGCCGACTCGGAATCGGCGGTGCCGGGACGACGCAAGCCACGGGTGGGTGTGGCTCTCGGAGGACTGGGGTGCCGGACCCCAAAGAAACCCGAGTTGCGTCGCGATTTCTTCTTCAGAACCTGGGCATCATCGGAGGGCGACCGTTCATGAGCGGCGGGGGCGGGAAGGGAAGAGGTAGTCATTGATGGGCTGAAGACGCTCAGGCTCTTTCTCCGCTCTTTCTTCCCCAGACTCTCGGCCATGACGGGGGGGAAGCAGGAGGGCGGAGAAGGCAGGACAGGGAAGGGTCGAGAACGCTAGAGGGCGAGAGGAGCAGGAGCAAATTGGAAGTCGAGGACGAAGTGCCACATCGAGGAGGCCGAGGTCGCGGGGGGGTAGATCACTAAAAGGAAGAAAACCCGTAAGAAAAAAAAACAAGGTCACCGAACACTGGGGGACGAGGAGGAGCATGATGGGACGATAAGGACGGATAGACATGGCTGCAGGCCTAGCCTAGGAGATTGAGACCCCGGTGGTGACTAGTGAACTAGAGGGGTGGAGCAGGGCGAAGGAGCACAAATGAGGAGCTGTGGAAGGGAAGAGGGGGAGGGAAGGCAGGTGGAACATACAGCAGTCGGGCCAGCTGCCATCGATAGGAGGTGAAGAATCAAGATAGACGCGCAGGAAGGCGGCACGATTTGACGTGGCAATGGAAAGTGGAAAAGAAGGGGAAAGAAGTCAACGGAGACGGGGGAGGAGAGAGAGAAAATGGCGCGATTGGAGATTGGGCGCTTGGAAAGAGAAAGAAAAAGAGAGAGATGGTGGAAAGGGAAGCAAAAGAAGACCAAGGAAAAGTCTCGATACCAGATGAGACAATCGATGAGATCAAAGGCGACAAGGGACAATCTTAGGATAATTCGTAACTAAAGTAGAAAAGAAGAAGATAATAGAGAGAGAGAGAGTATAACCAGATATACAATGGACAAGAAGAAGAGCTTAAAGAATACGGGGGAGGGAGGAGAGAGAGGAAGGAAAAGAATGGGGTGGGTTGAGACTTTGAGACCGATAGTAGCGAGCGAGTGAGCGGAGGACGTCAATAAAAAAAGTACGAAATTGCAGCAACACCAATGCGATGGCGATTGAGATGCACGGAAGAGGAGAAATGGGGGGGTGTGGAAGAAAGAACGTCCAAGCACACTCCGGGGCAACCAGGGACGTAAGAAAAGGTTACAGTCTAGGCCGTGTCAATGGGCGAGACAACGCAACAACCTCACCATTAAAAGACCGGAAAGGGGAAGACACGAGAGGGAGAGAGTGTGTAAAAGTAGACGAATGCGGACGAGGCGCACAAGATGGATATTGGCTGCTTATCTTTTTCCCTTCTTTCTGTCTTTCCCTTCTGAATTATTCTTCCTTGTCGTGTTTACAACGTCAACGTATCAGCGACCCAAAGAAAGCGATTGTTTAAGCGGATCCAGTGAGGTGAAAAGATTGGATCGAACCAGTTCCTGAACGGCAGGCAATCCGGAGAAAAATGAGCTCAGGAACTTAATAGTGAACTAAGTAGACTAACTTGCAGCGCGTCTTTTTGGGTTTATGATGTCAGCGCCCGGAGCTTCTTCGGATCTCGCTGAAAATAACAATAAGAAATCGGGAATTCCGATGACTGTGTCACTGATGACAAAAAGCAGAATTGTAGAGACTGAATGAGTACAAACTAGTTGACTAATTGGGAGGAGAGGAAGATCCAATTTACAATTTCCTAAAAAGAGAGAGGGAGGGAAGGAAGGAAGGAAGGAAGATGGGAGGGAAGATGGGAGGGAAGATGGGAGAAGAGGAGGAAGAGAGAAAGAGTGGGGAATAGAGACTAAAGGGACGAGGGAAATGACGGATCAGGGGGGCAGATGGAGATGGATAAAGAGGCAATATGGAGACAAAAGAGAAGAATGACAGAAGGTGGCAATGCAACAGCACAACGAAACACAACACCATGAAAATAAAATAATAATAATAAATGATGAGCTCAATGTGGATGGATGGATTGACATGACGAGGCGAGGGAGGAAAGAAAGAGAGTTTAGTTACTTCTCACCCTCCAGTTACTCTCTCCGGAAAGGCCGATCATCCCAAGCTCGCCGAATGCAGTTGTTGCTTTTTCTTGGAGGTGATTTCTCTTTTTCTCTTTCTTTACCTACACAATTACTACGAAGTATCTACCTGGCTACATTCTAAAATATTCAGCGACGATGAATGAACTACCAGGATGCACAAGGATGCGCAGGATGAAGAGAGCGTATGTAATAACTTTACTTCTCCTTCCACCTCATCCCACTGGCTGGTTTATTATAGAAGCAGCCGCCAACTAAACCGCCGCCTCACCCGCCCGCCTCTCTGGGATTGCTTGTCTTGCATTTCACTACTCCATACAGAGAGAGTACTCCATTGAGAGAGAACGAATGGCAAAATCTGATTACTTCAGAACAACACTAATCAGCCCTCTCTTCTCCCTTTGACTCCAATCACTAAAATACTTAATAACCAACTAATCCACTCACTAAATTGTCTTTGATACTCATTTCCCTGTCCCACCATTTTGCCCCCCCAAGATGGAGCCCTTATGAAGCCGATCGCCGGTGGATTGAAACGCGTTCGAGAAGCCGATCTCCAGCCGCGTAAACCCATGCAGGACTGGCCGCCTTTCTCTCTCTCGCTCACTTATTCGCTTTCTCTCTCCTGCTTCGGAGCTCCAGCTCCACTTGTATCCTTCTCTCGCCCTGGCTAACCAGCTAGAATGCTGCGAGATGACTTAGTAGCTACGGAGTAGCTCCAGTTGGCCACGGTCTGGAGCGCTGCCACCATGACTGACAGCTGGGTAAAATGAACTTCGGGGTGATCAACCGATTGGGAGGTCGCCTGCAATTGGGTTCATAATTTCTTTTTCCTGTTCATTCTTCATTTTACGGTGTGGTGTGCACATTGCTCCCAACCAGTCTGTCTGTTTGCATCTATTGCCCTCTTCCCACCCCAAGATCCAGACCCCCTTGTTCCTCCCTACTCTAGGACCGACCCGACCCTAGAACAATATGAGGGGGGAAAGAAGACAAAAAGGTGAAAGAAATAAAGGGCGCAATGTTCTAGTTCTTCAGAAACAGATACCACCCTGTCAAACTGGATCATCAACTGCCCCTGAAATCGGTCGTCATTTTAATTAGAGATCTACTGGTGTACACAAGCGGCCGATTCACCAATCTGGAGATCCTCCCGTATCCCCACCGCGGCCGTTCGGGGACTGCTGCAGCATCGCTTCTGGATTTTGCTAGACTACTGACTAGCTAGCTAACTAGCTACTACTACTCTTAGCCAAACCCTCCCCCCTCCACCCCCCTCCAACGGGCTTGTCCACAGCCCGAACCTGGCCCGAAGGGTATCCAGTACGTTCCAGACTGGGCTATCGTCGTGTTTCGTCTGAACCCTTCAAACACGGGGGTTGAGATCAGTGGAGAACCTCAGACGCCCGAGCTAGCCGGGTAAAATCCTGAGGGAGCGAAAGAAGATGGACTCAGCCTCTCCGGACATACTTTTAGCAAAGCGAGACAAAGCCCCGACCGACAGCTTCCCGGTATTTTTGCCTCTCACAAACCACTGACATTAAGAATGACTTGAGACAACTGGGTCCGTTGTTTGATGTTGGAACTATAAATCCTCAACTCGGAAATCAACCTTGTCGGCATCCCATCTATGCCTAGACTACCGCTTGCTTACTCCAGTCCCCGCGCGGCTCTCTCCGCTTGTAGTTTTTCGAGCCGTTTGACCTTGCGAATATACTTAATATATTCATCGACTCGGCGCTCCGCCCAGATACATCCACCCAGCGTCATGGCCCCGATGTGGAGAAACACTTTGAATTGGGGCGTCAAGCCGCGGTAGATTTTCGAAGCGGGGGACAGCCACTCGGAGAAACCCTCTAACGGGCGATAGAAGAGTCGCGATCGAATGAACTCTTTCGAAAAGGGCGATTGCTTGGGCGGAGGTTGCGACGGGGACTGCGATGGGACGGGGGCCGACGAGGGCGACGAGAACTTGAAAGGATGAGGGAGAATCATGATCATATGCGCCAGGATGGAGACGGAGCCGAACTATTCTGTCAATACCATTGCCCTCTCCCATCTACTTTGATGCTTCTCCGCTCTCAGAGCAGAGTGCAGAAAGAAATAAGGAACAGACATACCCGAAAAGCACCGGTCAAGAAGCCGCGGACGGCCTCGGAGGTGATCTCCTCCGGGGGGTCGACATTATGACGTTGATCCGAGGGGGGAGGCATGATAAATGCTACTCCGTAGATGTAGAATAAAATAGAAGAAGAGAAGAGAAAGAGAAATACCTAATGCATGCACAGCGGACAAAAGACAGACAGGCGCATGGCAGTTCTGCAAACCAAACCAAACCAATGACGCACAACCAACCATTCTACCCATGCGACTCGGGTCAACGAAATGCCGAAAACCACACCGTACTGTAAATTAGTAAACCAAATACCGAATACGTACCCTCTCCGCGGGTCCGAAACCGCAGTTTGGAAAAAAGAATCTTGATCAATCAGCGGGAGATATTACCAACGAATTATCCTCCACTTTCTACAACTCTACCTACCCTACTTTACTCAATTGCATCCAATTCATCTAGCATCACCACCACACCACAGGTTACCACACACCACAATATACCCACCAAACACCCCACAGAACAAAAAGACACAACATCAAAATGCCCCCCCTCCCCCCCCGCACCGCATCCATCACCCGGATAACCAACGAAACCAAGATCCAAATCTCCCTCTCCCTAGACGGGGGCATCCTCCCCCCCTACGAACCATGCACTCACTTCCCGGCGCCCACAGATCCCGCCGAAGCCGAGGCAAGCAAGAAGGGGATTATCCCGAACAAAGCCTCACCGCACGCAACCCAATTCACCCCGACGCAGCAAATCACCATTAACACGGGCATCGGATTCCTGGATCATATGTTGCATGCGTTGGCGAAGCATGGTGGGTGGAGTTTGGCTGTGAGAGCTAAGGGGGATTTGTTCAGTACGTTCATACCTACCCCATTCTCCTCCCCTTTTAGGGTTTATTTATTTTCTATCTGGGGATGTGTATGCTAATACAAGGGTTTGGGATTGGTATAGTCGACGACCACCACACAACGGAAGATACATTCCTTGCGCTAGGCAGCGCATTCACCGAAGCCCTGGGGGCAAGACAATCGCTTGCGCGATTCGGACGGGGCGATGCGCCGCTGGACGAGGCGTTGTCGTGGGCGGTGATTGATCTGTCGAGTCGGCCGTGGGCGGTGATTAATATTGGGTTCAGGAGGGAGAAGATTGGCGATTTGAGTACGGAGATGATTACGCATGGATTGCAGAGTTTTGCGCAGGCCGCGGGGGTGACGCTGCATGTGGGGTGCACGTATGGTGATAATGATCATCATCGGGCGGAGAGTGCGTTTAAGGCGTTGGCGGTGGCGATTCGGACGGCTTGTACGAGACGCGTGGAGGGGGAGGTTGGGGCGGGGGATGTGGTTAGTACGAAGGGGGTTCTCTAAATGTTTTCTTGTATGGATGGTATGATGTTTTATGGTGTTTGGTTTGACTACTGTCGGTTTGAATGGTATGCATATAGTATATTTATACACTATGTGTGATGGTGTATGAGTAGGTGGATGGTCAGGTAGATACACCCAAAGCTTGTGTCGCCCGCGTCCAGTATGCCTTCCTATCGTCGTTGGCATTGGTCCCTACGCAGTTGGTGATGTATGCTGCCCAGCCTGCTTCAGAGCCTGACTGCAGCTGGGACCGCACACTAGCCGAGCACTGCGTGGTTAGGAACCATGCCCCGGAGCCAAAGTCGTAGTCTTCGTTTGAGAGCAAGAGGTTCAGCACCCCCGTCACGTCCCCGGATACGCTGGGGAGTTGGTCCGCGAGCGCGGGGATAGAAGCCGCGTATTCGGCGTTGTAGGAGGGAGATTGCATGTTTCGTGCTGTATACCATCATTAGCATCTACCTCTCTATCTGGCATGGCAGGCAGAGGATGAAGGTGGGAATACGTACTGCCCTGCCCAGGTACACCGGGGAAGTGGTTCTTGTTGTACTTGAAATCGCCGCTTTCAAACGCCATGAGTCCAATCACGGCTGCTTGCTCGGCGCGAGACGTCACGTCATAAGTGTCAAAAGACTTGGTGATATGCGGGACTGCTTGCTCCGCAGTAGCGCATTCCCCGGCAGCAGGTGGATTATCGCATGTATTGGACGTAGGAGCAATAGCCTCGAGCTGAGCCACAGTAAGGGAGGAATTATCTCGGGCAAGGATCCGGCCGGCCGGAGATGCATATGCCAACAAGGGCATGATGCACATGCTGCTCAAGATTGATGTGGACTTCATTTTGCTGAGACCCCTATTGAAGTGGACAAAGGACAAAGACTGTTGAGAACGAAGACACCGTGAGCCTGCACAAGTACCATAAGAACAAGGATCATCGACCGGGACAGCCCCTTTATATGTCTTTCAGAGCATGTCATTGTTGAGACCCAGCATGCCTGATCGACTCCGCATTCCTGGGGGTGGATCAGGGTCTGGAGGGGCCTTCATCAGCCAAAGGCATCTCACATAGCCTGGCCTGTCGCCACATGTTGGTTGGACTGTTGTTGCATCTGGCGACACTGCGTTGGTATGTCCGGAGTTGCCAGAAACGCCTCTGCCCAAATGTATCATGTATCATGCCTCCTTGTGCTGATACTGGCACTGATTGGAGCCTGGCGAACCTCCGGCAAATGTGAAACGCCCGTCGTAAATCTTCGCCATGACCAGTTGTGCTTATCTGACCACCGGAAACATTGATTGGTCGTGTCGAATGTATGATCAGCAGACTGCCTTTCAAGCCTCGTTCTTCAGAGTCTGCATTGGTCGTTAGGCATGTTAGGGTTGGAGTTAGCCTCACGAAGCATGAAACACCATATTACATAATCAAGGAGTTAACACAATAGTGTCGAGATAATCACATATTAGTTTTATTTTGCCGTCCAGCTAGCCCCAGGCGTCTGAGCTGAACATTCGGTTCCGTCTACCCAAAATCGAAAGCAAGTCTATGTAGTAACAGTAAAAGATGTAAGGTGTAAACAGACAGGTGCGAAAGGAACAACTGTGGGTTCAAGAAGAGAAGGTCAAAGAAGAAAAGAAAGGTAAATCCGGACATCCAAGAAAGACAGATACAAGGCGAGCGCGCTGCCTAGCAGGTTGCCTCGCACAGATCAAAGAATCTTGCCAAAACATGTACAAGCCGTCATGTGCTTCAAGGGAAGCACTGCTGTTAATCCATACCCGAAACTCCGTACATGCACCCCAGAAATCAAATACAACTCCCTGAGCGGATGATATAAAACACACCTGAGCGGCTACTCCACGGGCACGATGAACAATGGCCAGGTGGAAAGTGTCAGGGCGCTGGAAGGCTGAAAGGCACACAAAACATGATACAAAGGGCGACGCTTAATCGCGTCTGCTGTAGAGTTCGTACGACGTTTCGGTAACGCCGGCGGCCTCTTCGTCCTCCTTGAAGCTGACGCGACGAAGAAGGGTAGGCATCATGCGCCGCCCCATCCTTGTCGGCGAAGACAGACGGGAACTCGAAACAAAGGAAGGGATCTTCGAGTAGCGGTAACGGTACTTCGATCCCAACAGCATGATACGCGCATACAGCCACCAGAGGGCGAAGCCGACAACGGCAGCCAGGAAGAAGCCGCACACGGTGAGGAACACCCAGTGCTGGCCCATCCAGAAGATCAAGCGGGCATCCTTGCCATGCCAGCTGTTGCCCACGTGGTGCGTGAAGAAGCTCCACGAGTAACGGTTGTACTCATCGCGCATCAGGATGCGGACACGGCCAGACTCGCTGGGGTTGGTCTGCATGTACTCCTTCCAGATCACCGACAAAAACAGGGGACCAGTCGAGTACATGACCGTGATGTACGGGAGGAGCCAATGGCGGTCATACGACTGCAGCAGCTCAATCGTACGCAGGAAGAAGGGGTGCTGGGGAACAGATCCCATGGCGTCGTTGGAGATACCGGTAGGAACAGTGCGACGAACCCAGGCAGGGTAGGCGAGGAGAGGATCTAACCGGCGGTTGCATCCCTGAGATACGGTCAGAAAAGGTTACAATTGATAAAACATAGGCTATACACACATCGTCAAGGTCAATGTAGGTGCCACCGTAGTGTGCGAGGACGAAGTAGCGGATTGAATCAGCACGCTGGATGGGATACTTGTAACCATCGAAGGTCTCGAGGAACCAGGGGTACTCGTTGGCGATGAATTCGCGCGACTTTTCGTTGGTCCAGAGCTGATTATATGCGCGTTAGTAAGAATACTCATGTGAACGAGTCGTACGACAACAAGGCTGAACATACAATGTATTCGTAGTCCGGGTGCAAATCAATGCAGCTCTGTTGAGCTTCCCTCCACACTTCCGGGATCGTTTCGTTCTTGTATGTCTGGTGAATGATCTTGGGAATGATCTGAGGGCGTTGCTCGATCAGACTGGAGTTTGGCGAGGGGAGCTCGGCGCGGTGGATAGCGTCGGCGGAAGCATCTTCCACCAGCAGGGAGAGTAGTGTAAAGACGCTGCGCACGAGGAATGTGACGATAATGAGATTTGCGATGAGGAAAATGAGAAGTCCACGTCGCATATTGAAAGAGGGTGCAGGGGCCCTAAACGACACCTGCTCAATAGGGGAGTGCGCAAATGTACAGACGTGAGGCGGATTCGTATCCCGATGCAAGGACTAATCCTCTGATTGATTTATCGCAATTCGTAAATTCGTGTCACGGAGAAAGGAAAGGTGCAGACGGCCGTGAGGGACTGAGACCTAATCGAACGGTATCTGCTCTTTTCCACGGGAAGGGCCTGGGGGTGATGGTGCGATAAGAGTACACCGGCGGAAAATAGATGCGAGGCTCAACACGGTACTACCAACATAGACTCGTAGGACAGGAGTGGGTGCACCGGCAACGTTTAGGCAATTGCAACGCGAGCGTCCGCGGGGAGATAATGACCTGGGGTCGTCAAGGTTGACTGAAGGAATGAACGGCCGTGGAACTGGCTGGTTGGCTCTTTTTTCCCCTTTTCTGCTTTTAGTTTACTCTGCAGACGGATTGTTGAGTCTAAGAGTATAAAGCGCGAACGAGGTAACTGAACCAGGAAAGGACCGGCGCAAGGGTGAAAGAGAAAGTTTGGACCAAGAGACGACCACTTAGTAGTAGTATAGAACTAAGCAGTAGTGGTGGTGGTGGAATGGTCTAGTAGTAGTAGGGGAGGTTGATCGGAAGCCCCAATGGCGCTGGACTGGACGGGCGGGGAGGGAATTTATTGGGAAAAGTGACGAAAAGAGGAAGCCACAGAGGCGTTGTTTAAGTAATTGTAACCCAAAGCAGACAAGAAGATTGAGAAACAATTAAGTAGAGGGAGTGCGTAATTTTACTTGGGTCGCAAGGGTGGGAAACAAAAAAAGGGAAGGGGGAAAAAAAAGAATTATAAAATAATGAATGAAGGAATGGAAGTTGATAGGCAGAGCGCCAGGTACTTGAGGGGGGTGTGTGGAAGGAACGAACGACGCCTTAGCAGCAAAGCCGTGGCATCAACTAGTAAGTAAGTACTAGTAGCAGGAGTAGGGAACGAGGAAGAGGGCAGTGTAGCCGTCGAGAAAGTAATCCCTTTGCGAGGGTACCTGGGGAACTGGGAAAAGAGAACGGAGAAAGCCAGCGAGCGAGCGAAAGAGAGAAGAGAGTTAGGGAGAGGGGAGGAGGCGGGCGGCGAGTGTCAACAACGGCCCATGGTTACGAAGAGCCCTGAATGGTCGGAATTGTGCTGAATGGACCGTCATCAGCGCCAGGGGACACAGCTTCGGGTTAAAGGGGGGGCAGAAACTAAGGAAAGGCGCCTCCTCTCTGGGGGAAAGAAAGCGAGACCGAGAGACAGACACAAACAGAGAGAGAGAGAGAGCAAAACAGTGGGGAGACACCAAGCCAAAGAAAAGTGGAGATGCTGGTGTGGATGCTTTAGGTTGGCGCCAGTTGCTAAGCCTCCGCCACTAAGACTCTTTCAGTCGTCTCGATGCCTGGTTTGGTTAGTCTCATTTGCCGACTGGGACTAGCCATGTCGGGGAGACTCGTAACTTGTTGAGGAGTTTACTACTATTTAATATTATAATCATTTTGAATAATAAATAGTAATCAAATTAAATAGCTATAGAAGACTTCGTTAAATCCAGAATAACACTTAATTGTATGAGTTGAGAGAAAGATAGATCCTCCTCACTGCAGTGCCAATGACACACTGCACCGCCATCAAAGTATATCCAGCTACCAGCTAGTAGTAGTACGTGGTTTCTATTTTCATTCCGGAATCAGCACCTGGTGATCTCATCATCATATCGCACTGCCATTAATCTCCCTCTGAGCCATGTTCATCGATGACGCCTAGGACCTCGTGGTTCATCCTTCCAGCTGATAAACTTACTACTCATCCGGTGGATAAAGAGAGATTGGAAAGGGAGTCCCAACCTGATGATGATGGCTGAGCCACTACTCGGCCGGCGGTTAAACAGTAACTCTCCCCCAAATCAAATAGCTCTCCAGTTCATTCTAGGTTAGTAGCCTCGTTAAAGACGGGCCACTAATTACTGCAAAATAAACCAGTGGTTGGCAACCAGTCGGACTGTGGAGCCATCATTGGCAATCCCACGGGGCCACGGGGAAAGGTAAACCCGCTTATGTAACCGACGATGACTGGCCGACAGCCATACACGCTAACCCAATTGGGCGAGGAAAGCGAGGGGGAAAGTAGAAAAAAAAGAAGGTAAAATTGGGGAGAGCAAATAAATCAATAATTAAAGAGTAAGAAAACGGATATCCTCACAGATAAGAAGAAGACTAACCACAAAGTCACTAGCCGATAGTAAGAAAGTGGCTCCTCCGCCAAACCATTGAGGGGCGATTACGCAGGCCTCGGTGGTTTCACCCCCAATATGCTTCTGGCATTCTTTCCCATGGATCTGTGGCTTCTGGTACACAGGCAGAAAAGAGTAAGTTCAAATCGTTTTAGTTGGTTCGGAACATGAATCGAAGACGCCACCACTCGATCCTCCCTCTCCAGTCCCCTCATCATTGCCGCATCGTGAGAATCTTTGTTGCCTAATTCAGTTCCTCGGTATCGCTCAGTCGGTGATGCGCTCTTTTCGTACCGGCGAGCCAATAACTCAGGGTAGAAGACGCGGCCTGCCACCACGATGACGGAGTTGGCCTAATTTATGGTTCTTGCACATCCAGCTAACTAGCTAGCTAATAACGGTCGCGACTATTACTGTGCCAATGCGGACTACGCAGAAGGAAAAGCAAATTTCCCGACAAAAAAGCAACAACAATAATAGTATGGAAGTATTGTGGAAAAGATTGTTGAGAATTGTTGGGGAACGAGGGCAAGTTGAACGACCAAACAAACCCTCTGTTCGCGACTAACTAGCTGGACTAAATCCATAGCGCTGCACGCTACGTCCAGAAGTTCAATTCTAGGGACTACAGGAAAGTGTGATAGACGGCTTGGATCGCATGGATTCATCAAACTAGACAGGTACTAGTTCCGTCGTAAATTTTTGGGCCATGCTCCATATCTCCCTTGACCCGTAGTTCCCAGTACTGCAGTCAAAGTGTCAACGACTCAACCACTGCCATCTCAATTACTCTGTACTACTGGGTGGATTTCCTTGACTTCTGTCTGCTTTCGTACTTTTGAATGTCTACCTTTTGTTAACACCGCGGAGCTCTGCTGTCGAAGCCGCCCGTGCATAAAGTTCCAGGTTGCATCTCGAGAAAAACAATTGTCCTTGTGTGACACGGCAGCTGCAGCATCGACTGCATTGAAGTGACAGGGCCAGATCAGTTCATTGTTAATGGTTCCATAAGTAAGGCCATCACCAGTGTTTGGCTGCTTCCCAGATGTAGTCCATGCACTGTGTGTTTAGTGGTGACGCCGGCGGCAGCTGTCAATTGCAGTGGTGATTGGACATGATGCAAGCTGTATCTACAAAGTAGTGATTTGTAGATAAACCAGGTGCACTTAAGCAGGATTAAGTGGCTAGTAGTATGTGATCTGTCCGTACCTGTTTACAGTAGTCGAGTTGTTCTCCTGTCAGTTTGCCCTACCACACTGTTAGCCAGTAACTGCTCAGTGTCTCAGGCAATTACCAATAAAGGCAGGTACAATACACAGCACACAGTAGATTGCAGACAAGACTCGGTGGAACACACAGCCCAGCCCAAACTTCGGCGTCTAACAGGGCTACCCGATTGATTGTGATTGATTGGCAATTGACACTGATTTGCCGATGTATAACATCATATCTGATGTGCCCGGCAGTGAGCGAGTAATCACAGCGGGGCCCAGCACCGCCCACCATTGCTTCCATCCATCCATCCTTCTCATCGAAAGAGGCGATCAGGCAGAAGTGGGAAACGCTTTATCCATCCAGAAAGGCTTGTTTATTCATTTGAGGATCCATATTTAGAAGAGAGTAAGACGGACAAGAGAGACCTCTCGCCACCTGAATTAATGGATTAATTCAGTTGCCTAGGGTGTCTGTCCAGCCACAATCTGGTGTCGGAAATTCGTGGCTGGGACACAGGTGTAGTTTGGAAACAACTGGGATGGATGGAGAACGTTTTACCCGCCGAGCTTGTTACAGCCATTGATTGCACCCCATGGACCCTGGTCGGGATTTCCATTTCCAAGTTGGTGCCGAATTTACGAGTACGAGTGAGTTTGCTGAGCCTGAGAGACGGAGAATCGGCGGTCGGTGGTTAACCCGCCGACCACCACAGGCACCACCGAGTATCCTCACTGATTTTTTCTTGGTGAGCACTTCGCTGGCAAATTCATCCGAGCTCCACTGATATCAGATTTGACAGATTAGGCGGGCTATGGAGTGGGTTAGTGGTGGATACTGCACAAGTATTTTTGGCGTGGGGTCGTCGTAACCTTCCATGTGAAAGGGCAAATGGCTCAAACAGGGCCCGGGGAGAAGAGAAAGGGCCAGACACAAAACCCTCCAAGATAGTACAAAGTGGTCTGCTACTAAGATAAGTCTTATGTAGCCATGTTTTGCCACTATCCGTCCAAACTGGGGGCCGTTTCACACTTTATCCGACCAGCAAAGCTCACCCACCAATCTGGATTTTTTCCCCAGAGAAATGCCAAGTCCTTTTCAAACCAAAGATAAAGAGGGAAAAAAAAAAAAAAAAAAAAAGAAAAGAAAAGAAAAGGAAAATTCGACGGTTAGAGAAAACAACCCACGGGCCCACATCCACACATGGAGAGAGGGGGGCCCTTAATCCATGCTACCAGGAGACACATCCAATCAGACCTTTCAACATACCCAGATTGGCGCAAGAAAGGAACCGATCTGGACTGAGTGGCTGGCTTTCCATGTTTAGGTCCACTGGAAGAGGAGAAAATAACTAGGTAGGGAATGGAATGCATGGCAACGACCCGCGGTTGTCGAGTCGCATGTTCCTTTGTGCCAGGTCCTGGTTTGTCGATGGTAGCGGGAGTTACATAGTTATGTGCTACTTTTATCTGTTTCTTGTGGTGTGTTTCAACCGACCAGAAACGAGCCCCGGTGGTTCCCTGTTTGTCCCCCTGTTTGGGGCTTCCGCGTACTCGTATCTCGGCTTTCTGTCCTGCTTCTTCTCTCTCACAGCCCAATTGCCCTGTTGACTTATTCGTTAAGCATAGATTTCCCAACTACTAATGTCTCACAAAGACAAAGAACGAATCGCCCATTCCATCTCACTAATTAGCTTACTCGCAGGCAGACGAGGGGCCTAACCTCCCCCAGCCCTCATCTACTAAACGTCCACCATCTCCAAATTTAGTAAATGACCTACCTACGTACCTACTTATCTTGCTAATCAGAAACCGTTTCGGCCCTCTCATCCAATAAATAAACACAGGTATATAACCCAGCCTCCTGTGTAGGGGATATGCACCATCAAGGACCCCTGCCCCGTGGTTGATTTGTTCATGTCAATCACCCCCCACTTTCACCCGATGATCTGTAAGTGGGATGAGGTCAGAGCATGCCTTTAATCCCGCACAGTATCGTAGATAGCAAGTCTTCATGATGAGAGAAATAAGACTGTCTTGTCTTTGATCAGCCCAAAGCGTCTCGTCTCTCTGTCTGGTTGATCAACACCAAAGCGGCGTAGTAGTACCACTTAACATGGTAACTATACCGTATTTGCTACATAAGACGGGTAATAGATAGGAGAAAAGTCCAGATTCAACCAAACAGATCAAATCATATGATACGATACGATACTCTACCCGATGGATGGGTTCAGGGTCCAAGATCCTAGCAAGTCTGTATGGCATTGATTAAAAGTGGGAAGAAGCAGCAGCGATTAAGAAAGTAAAAAAGCGACATTAGGATAGACATTATTGCGGAGAATTTACCCCAAACTTCGAGCTTGCTTGCACACCCTGGATCGACACGTGGGCCGCTCTACCCCCTCCCTTCCTTCCTCCCTCCCTTTCAGGTAAGTGGAATGCTAGGTACTACGGTATTCCTACTGCATATAGGAGAAGGCAGCCTCATGCGTCCATGCGTCCACACAAACCACCCCCTTTGCCCCTCCTGTAAATTGTTATCAGGTTTAAAAACAAGGTTTGGGTATATTTATTGAACTACTAGCTGATTGATCACCATGATAGTTAGTCTGTCTCTCTTACGGAGGCGCCTATGACTGAAACTCGCAGACTGAGCGCCCGCTATGACCCTTCGTGATACTTCTTTCTTCCCTTCTTCCACATCTTCCCCACAAGTGATCCCAACTCATTCACTGGTTGGCGGAATATGTCTGTTGTTATCTGTCTGTCGGATGTCGATGCTCGGGATCCTGATGACCCTTGTGATATTTCTGGTAGAGGCCAGAGCGCAACCAGCCACGGCAGCGTGGGGTAGATGATCAAATGACTTTCTGTGGATAAAACAAGACAAGCCACACGATAAGATGTTCACCAGATTTGCCGCCGTGGTCCTTGCTTATATCCCGACAGTATTATATTCTCCTGCTCTGCGCGTGTCGGAGCGAGCTGTCGGCAGTACATGCGTATATGCTGACGTTTCCAGAGCGATTGCGCGGACGATTCTTAGATCGCCATGCAACAACGTCTAGCGGGTGCACGCAAATAGCTCACCGAACTTCGGGTGCAGCAGCAGCGGCGAAGTCCCCGTTGACATTGGCCGCGTCGGTGCCTCGTTCCGCAGGCCCTGACTCAAACAGACGCACCCACCACATAGGGGGATCAAAAGGACGGTGGCCACCGTGAAGCGAAGGGTAGACGTCATTGAAAAAGTACCAGACGTGACCGACGACAACGCCACAGATCTCGTCCTTGGGCACGATGCCGTGGACAACCAGGCTGAATGCCATCAAGACCCAGGGGAGGTATGGGGCGGTGAAGACCAGCATTCCCAGGAAGCTGAGGCGAGTTTCCGGGTTGCGACGACTCCAGATGTAGACCAGACTGGAGGAGAGGGCCGTGCCCAAGAAGGGGAGCGAGAGAAATGGCGAGAGAACGAGGAGAGAGGCCATGGCGTAGAACAGAAGCCACGAGAAGTGGGCCGGCGATCGCCCCGATGATTCCTCCAAGAGGCGTGAGTATCGCTGCAAGAAGAACACATGGAATAGTAAGTCGAGATTGAGTGGTCCGAAGTATAGGAAGGTCGTTAATAGACGCCAATACTATGCGATGGTTAGCCGCATGGTTCGTCTTACTTCATACATGTGGACGGAAGGACTAGCTAGCGGCGACGCACCTGAGACTTGACATAGACTGCGCGGAAGCTATAAAACAGCTGAAATGGGGTGAGGACATGACATTGAACCAAGACTGAAGTGGCAACGGTGGCAGCTGTCCACCATCGAGTCACAGGGGGCATTTCATAGAACCATTGCTCCAGTGGGAACTGGCCAGCCTGCCCGCCGTTACCCCAGATGGCGGCCATGATCGAGGATGGATAGATACAGTTGCAAACGTTGGGATTAGACTTGGTGAGGTGAGGTTGTTCGGTTGGCGGGTACGATGCGATAAGCGTAATAGCGAGGATGCAGAGAGTTGTCTTTTGGCGGTTAAGGACTCGAAAAGACGGGCAAGTATGATCGATAAGGGGATGATGTCGAATCACCAACTAAATAACTGCCAGTTTACTTCCGCCGTAATCGCCGAGCTCCAGCTGGCCTTTTGGCCTCAGGTGTCACCTGTCACTTCCCCGGCGCATATGTCACGTGTCGCTCCCGCGCGCTTCGACGCCTCGAAGACGCGCCTCGCACGCGTTCGGACAGGAATTCGGATGGCTGGGGATTCCATCACTTCATAGTCCGTTCGGCCTCCCGGATGGGTCCCTCTCGCATGCAAATTCATCCCTGACAAACCCTCCTCCGCGGCTATCACCTTGCAGCTTATTTCTCGAGTGTGGCACTCAATCGCATCTAGAGCTCATTATACAAAGCCTCAGGCCGCCGGAGGACGATCTCGCGCACCACCTTACACCACCGAACTCAAAGTGTCATCTACTCGCCCGGTGCGAAGGAGCTCTAGAAAGCTACCCCTCTTTCGCCCTTCTCGTCGTGAACAACCCAACCGGTCAATTGTTCGCCAAGCGCTAAGGAAGTCAACATGCCCCCGAAAACAGGCGGTCGCGGTCGCGGTCGCAAGAGCGTTACGGCGGCGCCGCGACAATCAACAGCTGGCGACCGTGCTGCCGCAAGCTCCTCAACAGCCGCTACAACGGCATCGCCGGCGGCCAAGAAAGTGCGCAAATCCACTGGAGGGACTAGGGGAGGGAAAAGGCCTGCTGGAAAGGCACCCAGAGAGTCCGACGTTCAGCGTGCGTTACCCCCAATCTTCCATCAAGATCTCTCTGCTCTGCCCTCTCCCGAAGAATGGAAATTGACATCCTCGCAGCTGGTGACCCCACACCACAAGGACGTGTACGCCGCTACAAGCCCGGAACCGTGGCTCTCAAGGAGATCCGCAAGTACCAGCGCTCGTACGATCTGCTTATCCAAAAGCTTCCTTTCGCTCGGCTGGTCCGCGAGGTCGCGCTTGACCTCCTCCCTTCAGAAGTTGGCGCCGAGCTGCGGTGGCAGTCGCATGCGATACAAGCGCTCCAGGAAGCAGCCGAAGCTTTCCTTGTACATCTCTTCGAGGACACCAACCTCTGCGCGATTCACGCCAAGCGCGTGACCATCATGCAGAAAGACATCCAACTTGCTCGACGCATCCGTGGTGTCTGGGGTGGTTTGGGTTAAACGTCACACCAACATTACCCCTGCTATTAATTTCAAAAGGAGAAGAAGTCCAAAAAAAGAACGAAACCGAGACAAAACACCCATGAACAAAAGCCAGATTCTTGTCTACTTTCACCATCTACCTACTCTACCCCACCACCTCTCTGATTTCATCTCTATCTCTCTCTATCTTACTTCTCTCCTTTCCGACTTCGTTATAATCTAACAGTGGGGAAATCTCGTTCATCATCTTTCTCTTTTTTTGCTACCACTTGGTGTTGTATAGGGTCGCAGGCGTATGGAAAGGTTACGGGGTCTTGAGGCGAACCGCGGGGTCTTTTATTTCTTTGTTGCTTTTTGAAGCCGTTGTTTGATGCTTTTCCAAGTCTACCGATTTTGATCTCACCTACCTACCAACCTACCTCTTGATTGATTGACTGTTAACTCAACGCCGTTTGACTACCGGCTCTGTCACGTGTGCGTGTATAACAACACAACCTACTTTATTATGTCCGTTGAATCGAACATGAAAGGTGTACTACCTATTCCATCCATCTCATATATGGCCAGACAGATTGGATCGATCATCCTGTGTATGTCGATCCATCATCAATGAATGTTCCTGGAGATGTCTGATCTTATAGACCAAATACCAAATATCTAATTGTCACCTGAAACCGGGATCTTATTGTATCAACTATTTATTTTCCATATAAATGGAACAACTCACACGCGCGCACTCCCTTTTATATCAATGTCATCACATGACGCCAAACTCCCCTAATAAGTAGCAACAACCAATCCCCCCCACAGCCCCAGACAGATAGAGTAGCAGATAAGACACATGGATAGAACAGCCCTAACATGGTATCATGAACTGAACTTCAGCCGTAAACACCACACTACAGAGATATAGAAAGCAAGAAAAGAAAAAGGATGTGAAAGGGGGGCAGAGGGAATAAGAAAAGGAGGATGGGAATGTGGAAAAGAGGTATGGTAGAAATTACAAAAAAGGTGGGCTAAATAGCAAGTCAAGCAACCACCATTACCAACAACAAGTGGTAGAAAGGAGGAAGAAGAAAGAAAAGGACCAAGGTAAAGCCTGCATCCATCATACAGGCCTCTTCAAAGCAGACGGCAATCCCATCATGACGCGATGACCTTCTTCTCGTACACCTTTGGCCTCCTCGTTCTTTCCTTGACGTTCTAGCGTTTCGGCTAGCATTTCGTCGGTGACACTGACCCAGAGCCGGTCGTTGGCTTTCTTAGCCATGGCGCGGCCCGCTCGGGCACTTTTCTCGGCTTGTTCGCCGACGACGCCGCGGAAGTATTTCCAGCTCATGAAAGTTAGGGTCATGCAGGTGATTTGGCTGTTGCTGATTGCCGTGGCGGATTGAAGGGCTTGTTGTAGGTATTGCTTCGTTTGGATCGTGGACTCAGTCTGGACGGTGGCGCAGACCAGGTAGTATGCTGCTTGGATGTACTTGTTGGGACTGCCAGTGCAGAAGGATTCCACAGTAGATAAGACGGCGGGTAGGTGGGAGTGAGAGGGATGGGTGGGATCGCGGAGGATGAGGACGGTGTTGAGAGCGGCGAGAATAGCGATGTCGCGGCGTGGCTCATTGCGCGCCGTCTTGCTGAAGTTCGTGGATAATGAGAGAAGAGGGGATTGAAAGGCGTTCAGAGCTGCGGTGAGGTCGCCGGTTGCTTGCGCAATAGCACCAGTAGCATACTCCATTAGGCACTCAACGGTATCTGGGAGCTGGTCGCCAAGCTCCTGACCTTCTTCTTGAAGTTCCTTCAATGTTTTGCTGGCTAGCTCCCAATCTGTGCGACCGCAAGCAAGGAAAACCTGCTGAACGAGCAGGTTGCAGTAGAGAATCCTGCGCCACTGAACGCGTCTGTTCGCATTAACCACCGATTCTGTGATCTCTTGTGGCGCCTTGAAACTTCCTGTGACAATACCGTCAGTAAAACATTTGAGAAGAATTGAGATGACCTTCGCCAAATCAGGTGTACTAACCCTTTAACATACGAGTGCCCTCCTGCAAGAACTTCTCTGCCTTACGACCATCATACGAGTTTTTGCAACTCAGTGTGATCGAACTGAGGAAGTAGCAAAGCGCGTAGAGATCGTGCTGAGGTAGCCAATTAAAGCTTAACAGCAGCGTGCCACTCTGGACCTGGAGGATGTCCCCGGTGTCAATGGAAGACGGTCCGGCCGACTTGCCATTCAATGGGATTGAGAATGATCCATCGCTGCGCCAATTCGAGTCGTTTAAGCGTTCGTCCATCAAATCTTGCAGCATCTTCAGCTTTTGCGATGATTGATTGATGTCGTATTCAAGTAGACTGCAGCAAATATCGACAATTTGGACTAGAGTTGTTAGCTGTGGGATATGTCGGAGCTCGTCGTTGAGTTGGTGACTCCGCGCTACTGCTACTGCACGCTGGGCTTGCTCGACCGAGTCAAACCCGGATCCTTGCTGAAGGTGCGCTAGAGCTTCGATTATCGCAGACATGGCTGAGACAGCCCTATCGCCATTGCGGCTGGCCATGGTGGAAATCTTGTGAAGGTGTTGCAGTGCCGACACTGAATCTTGATGGGCCGATGAGGAAAGTGAAAGAGACACTCGAAGAAAACGAAAAGCGTATTCCCAGGCGGAGTGGCGATACCTAATGAGTTCAGTAAAAAATTGATAGAATGGCGTCAACGGTACATACGCTTCGACATCTTGAATCATCCCATCAACAGCTTTCAGCGAGGCTTTTGGATTCGTCTTGTACAGCATTCGCGCCAACAGATGCTGCATGCTATACTTCAGATCAAGCATCCGATTCTGCATTTATTAGTACCTCATTATCGCAATGGCTCCACAAATGGAGAAGACAAAATGAACTCACCCTTTCGCAAAGGTCAATCTATACATTAAAGTTAGCAATAGAAGCAAGATGCAGAGCAGGAATAAAACGTACACCTTTGCTTAATGCTGTCTCCGCTTCAAGGTCGTTGTCTGTTTCCTCAAACAATATACGGGCATAACGTAATCGGACTAGAGCTTCAACCCGGGGCTGAAGCCGCCAGTTCTGCGCCACATTAATCAGCATCACCGCAACATGCGTTCGCGTCATGGATCAAGAGTCCCAGCATACCTTGAGAACAGCTTCCAAGCAACCAAGACCTGTAGCAACTAATTTGTAATACTCGTCCATCTCCATCTCCCGTCTTAACAAGGCTACCAACGTGCCATGACTGTGAGCAGCATTCAGATACTCATCAGCCATGGCCAACAGCAGCACTTGATAGTCGAGCGGCGCGCCTGCTGATTTTTGGGTAGGTTTTTGGCCAGACTGTCGCTGCGCTTGCTTTTTGGGGGGAGGGCGCTGGATTTTCTGCTGCACTTCTGGGGTAGGAGTTGGAATTAACACCTGGACAGGTTTAGGAGATGGTGCTGGGGGAGTTTGAGCGACAGGTTTGGCCGCGGCTGGCTTAACAGGGACGGGTTTGGCAGCAACCGGTTTAGCAGCAGGGGCAGGGGCAGGAGACGCAGCCGCAGGGGCAGCAGCAGCGGGAGTTGGCACTTGAACTGAAGGCGTAGTAGATGTAGGCTGAGGGTAATTGTTGGGAGTTTGATTCGCTTGGTTTAGATCTGGGGCGGCATAGTACGTGGATTGGGCGGGGGTAGATGTAGGGAGGACTGGGGAGCGGCTGTTGCCTGCAACAGACACCGCTGGTTGGGCGGCATATTGAGACGGACTATTGGTGAACTGAGGAGGCGAGGTAGAAGCAAGTGGTGGTGGGTTGAACAGATCCGACGGATTCACATATTGCTGTTGCGGTTGCTGCTGGGGTGGAGGTTGTTGAGGTGGTGGAGGAGGAGGTTGCTGTTGTTGCGGCGGCTGCGGGTTATAATTCTGCGCGTAAGCAGGATACGCCGGGATCATGACCTGGGGATAGACCACCGGCTTCCCATATTGATATGGCGAAGCGCTCGTGTTGACATTGTTGTTGTACAGTAGCTGCTGCGGGTGGATGGTCTGCTGGTGATGCGGCAGATTGGGGGGTTGCTGCATATACTGCGAAGGATATGGGCCGTTATGGGGTGGTGGGTAGCTCATCGCCCCAGGACGCAGACAATGCTCATCAATCCACTGCGCTCTGCTATTCCCGGGAAGTATATATAGCGAGACGACGAGGATGCTTCTAAATTTTGGGAATGACTCTCTATCTTTCTTGTTCTTCTGGATCGCGCCGCCTTTTCCGTTTCCGCGTCGGGTCGGAGAAACCCCCGGGCGGTCAGGTGAGGCGCGATCAGGTGAGTTCTACCATCCATGGCTTGATTGCTGCTTGACATTACTCACTCCTTTACTCAGTAGACGGAACAACCCGTGTTAGCTGAATATCTGGACTATCCATTCTTTCGAAATATGCATACAGAGCGTTATATCATGTGCATTGTATGGGTCTTTCCGTTGACACCATCTCTAGCGTAACTATACTATACTAATTATATCCCGAACCCCTTCCCTCTAAGAAACAAGCCCAACACCACCCTGAATCAATAATCGAGCCATAATACACCCTTACTACCCAAGCTATTCAACCCGGAAGTCCTTGCATAACGCCGAAACCAGGTCCATCCAGAACGCATCATACACAATGAGATTCGTAACTACAGCATCCAACCCTAAATCATACTGATCGAGGTATACAGCTGGTTCATCGACTGATCCTGTATAGCGGGGTTGAGAATATTCATCTCCAAAGACGGGGCTTCTTCCAGAGGTGGATGTTCTCGGATCGTCCATGGGCATAGCTCACTGCAGTTTGCGACGTCTATCAGATTCTCCGCGGGATGGATTCGTTGCGCTGCCCATGTCTGATCTGGGACAGGCCCCGATCCTCCCAGGCACCTTTCAGTATAGAAATGGTATGTTGCTTGTCCCGTTTCATCGTCCACTCGACATGGTTGTTTGCGAGGACACCTGAGTGAGGCATTGCATGTATTGCATACGGATATTCGCTTGCAGGATGCGCACTGGTTGTCATAAAGGCGACAGAGAGTCGTCTGGCAGACACTCGAAAGCCACAAGTCAACGGACCGGTGAGCACATCCAAACCGCGGCGTCATATGCTCCTCTTTGCCGAGCTGGCCGGAACCCGTGCGCAAGTGGTATTCTGTCTTGATCTTCAATTGGTCTTCGTCGTCCAGCTCAGGGTAGATTTCAATATCTAGCTGCGTCGATCCGTAGTCCTCAGTGCAACTATGCCAGCAGAAACGCTGCTGCTTCATCCCGGAACCAAATTGGATCGCCAAATCCGTGATCGTTTTTCGCCGTACCCTCAAGAGTTCGACAAGCTCCACCTTGTCCTGGAAGGTCAACTTCTTGCAAGGACATAGGTCTACTATGCCTGCCGAACTCCCTAGGTTGCATGATCTATCCTCGGACTTTCGTTTCAACTCTCGCGCGGGAAAGAAGCTCCGCGGGTGGAGTTTCAAGCATCGAGAACATGCCCGCCACCTATTATCTTCTAGCAAGTTTATGAATTGCCAACGTGGGGTGACGAAATTGTGTCCATTTCGGTAGTGGTGGAAAAGCGGTGCAAAGTCTCGACTGAAATGGAGGGGTTTGGCGCCCAGGGTAGCACGGCATATCGAGTAGAGGCGTTTACAGGTCAGCGCCAGGCATGCCTCGGGCAGCACCGACAGGTGAGAAATGATTTCCAGGAGCAGCTCGGTCGGTAGCGCAAGGAGATAGCAGTTGGTAATAGTGTCTGTATCGCCCCCTTTTCCTTCAAACTGGGTTTTCGCCCAGCGATTCATCTTTGCGATGGACCTTAATCGTTCCCCAGCACGGCGGAAACTAGATCCCATATCAACCGGCAGATCGGACCTCATTTCGTCGGTTGTGGCAGACTGTACCGTCTGTGTGTAAGTAACAAGAAATTAAGGTATATGTGCTGTGATCTATAGTCAAAAATTCAACAAGGACTCAGAAGATGAAAGAGTACCAGCCCGTTTTCTGCTGGGTTTGGGGCATCATGGTGTCCTAGAAAATATAACTGACAGCGAGCCACATGACAAAATAAGTTGTCAAGAGGAAGAGACGGGAGAGAGGGCCTTTTGACCTTCAAAAAGTAACCTTCGCAAAGGTTGTAGATTCGCACGCAAACGGAGCACGCGCCGGGGTCACAGCGTAGTAGAGGCCGTCAGGATTACATACAACAAGATGGGTCTTTCCGTTGGACCAAAGAGCAAAAGGCCGATTGTTTGATCAAGCTTCTTATTGGCGACTGTATCCAAACAGTCTACGGATCTAGACTGCTATCGTATCAGTTCGTAGGAAGGGTTTCGCCCGACTGGGGAACGGCTAAGGAAGTCTATGATGCTATCGGATCAAGGCCTACACTGAGCTTCCGCATCCGGGCCTGTGTTTACCGCATCGATCTTGCAGCGACCCGCAAACCCACCCTTGAAGAATGTTCATGCTTCTAAAAATTCAGCGGTCTGTTGCGACACCGTTTTCCGGGACAGCACGACCAAATTGGGGGATGAAAGATGCAACATCAAGTGACGTCGAGATCTGGGAGGGTGTTCATCTTGTGGAGGGTGCCTCATGATCCTCCCCGCTGAGTCATTCAGTACTGCTGACTGATCGGCGCGATAACGATAAGGTCCTGTCCCGATAAGCACATCAGATGAGCCTTACTGGATGAGGCAATCAAGCCGAGGCATTAATCAAGATCGATGGGTCTTTTTCCATCCCATCTTTCACTGTTCGGTGTCGCCTGTGGTTCCCGTTTCCCCTTTTTAGACCTGCAGGTGATTATAGCGTGCTATCTAGTGCTTGTTCTTTAGAATCTTCTTTTGGCGTTACAATTCAACCAGATCCGGTTCTCCATGTCATTCGTTGACACCCCCCTCAGCCTACTAAGCACATTCTCCATACCGCTTCTTGTGGCGGGCCTGCTGGGAATGGGCCTGCTCTCATGGATCCGCCCTAATGGCCGGATCACATACTATCATGCGAAAGATAATAATCTCTTGCTGGCCACCAAGGCGGGAAAGTCTAGATCCCAGGCGCAAGTGACTCTGGCAGACCTCTGTCGCACTGCCACTCCGAAGGCGTGCCAGCTGAACCCTTTCCTTTTCAACGGTCATCTTCAGACTGCCTGGACGACCGCGAAGTTTGATAATGTTCCGGTGCACTACAAGCGCTGGATGTTCGAGGCCGAGAACCCGATGTTGTCTGGGCACTTTGCGATAGACTTCGTGGTAGATCCGTATGAGCCGCCCAGCGACGCTCATGCGACTGATAGCGAGAGGAAATATACTCAGCCGTCAGGGCTACCCGAACGGACGTCATTCTTCTCGGAGAATGAATTTGCTGCGCTTCCCTCGGACGACACCAAGCCTATGCTCGTGGTTCTCCATGGCCTAAGCGGCGGATCACATGAACTTTATCTGCGCCATGTGATTGCACCTCTTATCAAGGATCAGACCTGGGAAGCTTGTGTCGTCAACTCCAGAGGCTGCTCGCAAACCAAGATTACGACTGGTGTGCTTTACAATGCTCGGGCTACTTGGGACATTCGTCAGGCTGTCAAATGGCTACGGAAGAATTTTCCGTATCGTCCCTTGTTTGGAATTGGTTTCTCGCTCGGCGCGAACATTCTTGCTAATGTAAGTCGATGTCAGGCACAAGTAACTAGGATTGACTGACGTGATCACAGTACTTGGGTGAGGAGGGCGATGCCTGCGAGTTGAAGGCCGCGGTACTCTGTGCTAGCCCTTGGAACCTCGAAATTGGATCCCTAAATCTGCAAAGCACCTTGATTGGTCGCGAGGTCTATAGTAAAGTAATGGGTACGAGCATGAAGGATCTGTTCGAACGGTAGGTGAAATCCATCTAATCATTGGTTTTTCTGCATCTGACTCGAGACCGTCAGACACGTGGAGCAGGTCTCCAAGAACCCGCGAATCGACGTTGACGAGGTGAGGAATATCACTTATTTGCATGAGTTCGACCGGTAAGAATCACTACAAGCATATTCTGCATCTGCATGGTCTTGACGTTAGGCACGATTAGGGCTTTGCAATGTGCGTCGTGGGGCTACCCTACTGAAGGAGCATACTATCGCGATGCTTCTTCTACCGATGCTATGCTCGGTATTCGCATTCCATTCTTTGTTATACAAGCCGAAGACGACCCGGTGAGTCCAGGTTCTCAGGCGTGCAAGTCTATATCCTAACCGATAGCAGATTGCCTGTGCTGCCGCACTGCCATTCCAGGAGATGACGCAAACCCCGTACGGCGTGATGATGACTACCTCTTGGGGTGGACATCTCGGCTGGTTTGAGCTTGGAGGTGGGAGATGGTTTGTGAAGCCGGTATGTGAAAGCTACCTGCCAGTTGTCTATCTACATCTAACTGTTCCAGGTGGCGAATTTCCTCAACCTTATGGCGAAGGAGGTCGACCTTACCGTGCCGTTCAAGGTTGAGGATCCCGAGAAGATCCCCGGTCATCTTGCTCACCATACGGGTCCCGAAAAGGACGCAGATACGGCACCAAAGCCGAAATTCATTCCTGCGCAACGCAAGCTCGACCTGCAAATCAGGCCATAATCAACAATATTGCATAACCGAACTGCTCCCATTGATAGGATCAGTGCTTCAATTGGAGAGATGCTCATCATGTGTCATGCACGCCGTTGTTTCGGAAGACATAGACCAGTATAACGCCAGAGACCCATCTAACTACATAGACCCGGTATAGACAGAATTACTTTTGTACATAGAATTTCAAGCAAATGCAACACTCTTCTTCTTTCCTTTTGACTTTGAAGACGACTCCTTGCTTGGCGCTTCATCCTTTGTTTCGCTGGAGCCACCCTTGTGCTTGCGTTTTTGGCGGATGGACTGCTTTGCTTCCTCCTGTTCGGGTCAAACCAGTTAGCAACCTCAAACCGTAAAAGTCCTTCAACAGGACAACTGGGGATTGATAAGCAGATATACGCACCAGCTTAGACTTTTTCTGCGCCTGTCTAGCCTCTGCCTCCTTTCTCTTAGCCTCACGGATCTCCTCCAACTGGCGAGCCTTCATCATCTTGGATTCGATCTGTCCTTCCTTCTCGGCGTTGACCATGGCGAGGATAGTCATCATTCCCTCCTATGGCAACATCGTTAGTCAATGCGACAATCATACAACGGCCTAAAAAGTAGACGGAATACGTACCGCATCGTCAACGAAAGTCTTGCCCTTCTTCTTGCCCTTGGGCTTCACCACACCAACGGGGGTGATCGCATTCAGCTTGGGCAGTCCCAGTTCCTCTTCAGTATATTCTCTCTTCTTCGTCTTCTTCAACAGGCTGGACTCCGTGCGCGCCTTCGCCTTGACTTCCTTGGGCGGCGGGCGCTTGGCGCCTTTCTTGTTCACTTTCGATGCGGATGAGAGGGGCTTGCTCTTCTTTCCGTCGCCCTTGTTCGAGGCCTTGCCAGCGGCGGGGCCCTTAGTCGGCGCCATTGCTTCGATTTAAGTCTGCGTGTCGGGATTGACGATATGGATGGGTATCGAAAGAGGGAGACGAGAAAATCTGGATTGTCGCCTGCGATGGTGGAGGAGCGGGAAAACCAGCCACAAAAATCCAGTCGCCTAAATAGCACGAAAATCACGGACCTCAGATATATCCAAAATCAAGTAAATAAACCGAATCCAAGCCGAAGAAAAGAATTGGAACGAATGAAGCCCCGGACCCTCCAAGATCACGCCTCCGAAAGAGAAATTTTTTGAAACAGGCAGGCGGTGAGCCGCAACCCGGAAGTGCAGGACCTCCACCACTTCGATCTCCTCGCATCGTCACCTTAAGGTTGGTCCGTCGAACTTCCCTTCCTTTTCCCCATTCGCTCTCCCTCCCCCCCACCGTCGTCTTTCTCTCCCCTCTCATCCTAAGTGTGCCATTGTCGAGCCTCACCACTAGGCCACTGTTCAAGATGACCATCAACCCGACCTTCCTTGCCCAGCGCACGCGCTCCTGTACGTTTTCCCCTACCTGCCAGGACTCGGTTGTCCCGACCAAGTCCGACCTTTAGAAATTGCCGCGATGTCAATGGCCGGAATCCCGAGCTGACCTTTTCTCGCCTTGTGTAGCTGCCAACTGGGGTGATGCGAAGCACCGTGTCCTCAAGTCTTACAGAGAATGGCTTAGAGCGGTCAGTGATCCTTATACTCGATAATACCTATGCTTCATCACCTATACCCGTTTATCAATGGCCTGGCGTTCCCGGTGTGGTTGTCCGACGACCCTCCGCGTCTACAAACAGACCTTGCGACGGACCAAAGCCCCAGACCTAGATGACTACTATTCTACGAGAAACATTCAGACTAACATGACCCCATTCAATTGCGATAATATAGTCCCCCGAGATTCAGACTATGTACTCTCTGAACCTCCCCGTCTCCGCTATCCGTACGAAGATCCGCCAGGAATTCGAGAAGCACCGCTACGTCAACCAGCTGAACGTTGTTGATGTGCTGTTGTACCAGAGCCACGCTGAGTTCCAGGTGAGTGATGAGAATTGGGTAGCCTAGCGATGCTCAATTGCTGCCATTGATACAATATACATCAACCAATTGAGTTATCACATATTATGGTATGGTAATGTGTACTGACCAACATCAATAGGAAACCCTCAACTACTGGAAGCAGCTGTCGCATGTCATGAAGTACTTCCGCCCAGAGGAGGACCCCGGTGCTCGGCTACCTCCCAACTTCATCTCGGGCTTCTTGGAAGGCCGCAATTGAAATTGTGAAATTATTATCACCCACCATCATCTCTTATTTATCTCCTTTATACTCCTGGTATCTCTTAGCATTGAAAGTTCTCTGACGGCTGCGAACGCTGATAGAGTGTGTGTGAGTGTTATGTAAATATTGTCTGACTACATGATGTTTTTCGGTTGTTGATTCATTAAGAGGTTGCTTGTGTAGTAAGCATGTAGACTGTATTTGAATGGCTTGCGGTCCGTATGAGAAAGATACTACTGTAGGCTTTTAGACTACTACTAGTAGTAGTACTTGATACGAACAGGCGACGAATACATTTATACAGGGCTAACAGCCAGCAAATGTCAACAGAGCCCAAACCACATGACCAACCCACATATCTATGAGCATATATTAGTACTGTAGCAGATGCTATGATATCCCTCACTCAATCCACCCCCTCAAAACCACAGCATCTTACCCAGCCAACCAACCAATACACCACATCTAGCCACCCCCAAAGAATAACGAAAAATAAAAAGAAGGAAAAGGTATAACTTTTCTACACACACAACGCCATCAATCCCATCAAATAATAAAACATAAAACAGCACACAGTTCAAAGCCAAAACCACCCAGGAAAGTCTATAATATGTATAAGAGAAAAAGTATATGCCTAAGCCTCCATGCGATCCGCCTGCGCAGCATTAAAGTCATCCCGAGCAGTGGTGAACTTATCCGTGACGACATCACAGAGGTCCATTAGAGTGTCGAGACCTTTTTCGAGGGCTTCGACGGCGGTGGTTGTTTCTGTCAATGGCAGTCAGCATCAGTTATCTTCATTCTATCTTCAACCTTATGGGAGGTAAGGGAGTAAACTAACCATAAGTCTGAATCCGAAGATTCATCTTTGTCTCGGAAGGATGGGGGATAGTGTAACCGCAGAATTCGACTTCGGGGCTATACCCAAGGAAATCACCCCGTTAGCAAAAATTCAACATAGCAGTGTTATTGAAAAGGTGTGTGTACGCACTTCTTCATAATCGCATATCGCAGCGCATTACCCAGAGTGTGACCCTCTCCCTCGAATTGGAACGAAGCTGCAGTGTCGGACGAGCCGGGCAACTATCCCATTCAAAAGATATTAGCATGCGGTCGGGTAGTTATTCATTCACGTCCACAGTGTATGAAGTGTATACGTACAACAACAATGCGCTTCTCTTCCAGCTCGAGGACGTCGGTCTGCTCTTCCTGGGGCGCGGAGGCGTCCAGCATGGACTGGTCTTGTTCTTCGGAGTGGACGGAGGCGGGCATATTGATTGGAGTTGTATGTAGGTTTAAGGTACTGATCCTGCGGATCTGGTTAGCGCATTGTCTGGTATATTGTCGTTCGTTCGAGGTATATACTGAGGGGGTAGGTGGTGGTGGTGGTGGTGGTGGTGATTCTTGAGGGGGGAGCGGAGGAGAGAAGTACTTAGTGGCGTAACACGCGAGTCGCGAATGCGGGACAATTTAGAGGGATAGATTCCAGAGGATAGTATATCTCCAGCTAAATGCGAACAGGAAATCAAATGAGTCGTATGCGTCAAGTTTCGCAAATAACCAAGTGCTTAATTGCTCATGAGGAGAAAAATGCGAAAAACGGTTTATCGATATCTCACCGCCTTCGGAGGAGGAGGGCATATCCTTACCGCCTGCCATATTTTTATTTGATGTATTGCTGCTGCTGCGATGTATGTTTGCCTTTGATTGGATCTATTGAAATCTACATCTTCACGGGTGCTACTGACTATCTACTCATGAATGACCTGTCTTTTGTAAAGAGTTGCAAGCCAACTAGCCGTCTGTAGCAGAAGCTAACGCACAGCATATCCCATTCAAGCGCTCTGCATGACTTATATCCAACGGCAGGATACGTACATACATATACGCCGTCCACTGCGTGAACGAACGCTCTTCTCGGCCATGTGCGACACTGGGTACGAGGTAGTATCTAGTTAGCTTCTAGTTATCGTCAGGTTACTTCAAATCGTCTGCATAAATATAGCAATCTGGGTTGTGTCAAACATCGGGCACACGGTATGATCTACCACTATGCATACCCTTGTGCAACTGTGGCTGGATTTTATTCCTCCCCCCCTTCTTCTTCTTCACTCCGTCGCTTGTCTCTTTTTTTTCCTTTGCAGAATTGAGTTTTGCTTGCATAGCAGCTAGGTACAGAGTAGTGCCGGTGCGGTGCTACTGTGGTTTTTCTCCGGATGGATGGATGATGAATGGATACTGCAGGTTACCAACCGAGTAGGCGACTATTTGATTAATCCTTACTGGAGATGGGTCTTATGTCGCTGGACATACAGTAGTAGTGTTATTAGATCGGTCTTATTTCTGAATGACTTGATTTGTGTTGGTACGGAGATAGAATGCTCCGGAGAGCTGGGTTCAACTGGCTAGTATCGTTGAGTTCTATAAATATGCATGCCATGGGGCAGTTGAGTGCAATTAATGTCCGCGTCTGGGAATATTTTAGTGCAACGCTGTCACCTACAGAAACTCAACTACTAAAGTGATAGTAGTAGTACCATCGGGGATACGGTGTAATTGTTCTTAATATTCTCCAATCAATAGTCTATTTCGTTAGTACATAAGGAGTAATACGTTAATCCTCCGTAGTAGCCAAGTAAATACTAAATAATCTACGCGACCGGGACAAGGCTACATACATGCTAAACACACACACTGATAAACGTCTCCTAGTTTAATTGCTACTATTATTGACAATGGCTTATTATTGCGATCGACCAGATGGAATATCGCTTGCCTTTGGGGAGACTGAGAGGGGGGGAGGGGATGGTGCACGCCCACTCTTTTTCTTTTCTCCTTCCCACATGGAAGAACCAATATTAGCAACAGGGGGCCGTGCAGAGGCAACGCCGTTGAGACTAGACTCGGGCTTGAGGAAGGCTTAACACGGGGTGCTCATAATATTAATATTAATACTGTTATTATAATTGCCATCTGGCAATTTAAATCAATCTATCTATCAATCTGTCAACAGTCAACACCGACCGTGTGTTTATGACACACAGTTTGATAATAATGTGACGATGCAACCGTTCAGATTTCGGGGAGTATCTAATCATACTTGGATATTAAACTATTGCCTTGGCGGAGTAGATAGCTGGGTTCGCTACTGCAGGTATGGAGCTTCGGTTGTTAGGTAGTACGTAGATAGATTGTTGTGTTGATAGTATAGTACTATGTTCGGATTCGGACTCGGAGATGATTGTTAGTTATTGTGGATGATGTCGTGATAGATGAGTGACGAAATGGATGGCGCGTACGGGAAGTTCTTGATTTGGTGTTGATTAGAAGATTGGATACTTTTGTTTGCCGAAGGTCCATTTACTTCATCGCTAATAGTAGGAGTGTCTACTCCGTACTAAGTACTCCATAGTTGGAGACATCTATCGGCGGGATGTTGTACTGTGTATCACAGTATATTGAGGATGGAGTACTACCGGGTCGGTTAATCCTCGAACAATCCCTTCCTTGCACATGAAGTAGTGTTCAATAATACTAAACGCTCATTTCGCATATGCAGGGCAAGGCAGGGTACATAGAGGAACCCCCGTGTGTAGTACTACGGAAAGATAAATGGGGGTTCTCGTTTCGAGAGACCACACGCGATAATCTATCTCGTACTCTTCCGGTGGGAGAGAAACAATATACATACAGAGTAGTAGTATCCACACCGTGTCCATGATAGATACATAATTAGTATCCACGAACTCGGGATCTCAGCTTGCCGAGCAAGCCACAACGATCAAATACACCGACCCTCCTGGAAATAATAATAAAATCTTTGCAGCAGGTTGAACATGAACATGTTAAGTTGGTAGACCCTTGTGATATGATAATCCATGGTACTAATTCAGCAGGTCAATAATTTCTGGAGACGGCAAGGCCGGACCCATAAACTAGTGGTTCATCAAGACTGGATGGCAAGGCCGTTCCTTAATCTTATTTGCAAGGAGCACACGTGGGCCCGCCAGGCCGAGGTTGGAACTTTGGAACTTATACCAAAGTAGACTAACGAGTTAAAGTAAAAATAGGAGAGGTGGTTTTTATGCGAGCGTGCAGTTTTCAACACATTGCACAATAAAGATTTCACTGTACTTTCATCTGGATAGTTGTAGTAGATATTGCTTGTCAGCGAGATAATTAGCTGGTGTTCCAACTTCCCACTTTTCCACGGTTATTTAGTTAGTACGTACTATCTACTATCTAATAGTAAGCCAGATCTCACTAGTCGTGATCCCCGGGTTAATGAGGCGGTCCCGTTTAATATTAAAATGACTTTACCTCGTGGAGTGGGAAATGAGGGGAGAAGAGATCGGCCCTGATGATTGGCTCTCGCAAACGGGCTTATCCGCAGATGATTTCAAGGACTTAAATAGGAAGGTCTGTAAATTAGGTTCAGTTCATGGAAGTAATCCATAATGTCAACTCCCATTATCGGTACCTTGGTACGAGTTGTTGAGGATAGATAGATACATACTTCTACTAAGCCATCAGCGCATACTGCTGCAAATAAATTTGTCAGATCTACATCCCACCCAGCCGTGTAAGCAGGCTACGCATTGGATCGGAGTACTGTGTAGTGTGTAGTACCTGCAAAGTATCAGCACTGCAACTGTAGCAGGGATTGAAATGCTCGATACAAGATGGAGCCCTCTGCATGCTTTGACTTTTTACTAAAACCTTCATGAGGAGTGACCGAACTCTTTTTCCTATCCACCAGGCTGTCGGGAAGTGGTTCCGCGCGTTAGTTTTGACTTTTGTGAATGTATTGGGAATTGATAATAAGAAGGACGGTGTATACATATTTGGCTAGATCTCTTACCTAGAAGAATGGATGTGGCTTGCTTCTGCTACTGGTGATTGATTGATTGGCTTGAATAGTAGGTCTGTTTTAAAAAGAGCAAGTTAATTAAGTTTGACTCAGCAGAAAAAAAAGTTTGACAGGTCCCATGTTTTGCATTGAGGCCTTGTTTGAGTCAAGCTGCTTGTCTGACTCGAGCAGAAAAGGGCCGGAGGCTTGGGGCTTGGTTGCACGAGGGCTGGGATTCAAACCATCCCCAACAGCTGCTGCTCCTGCTGCTGCTACTGTTACACCGGTACGGCATTTCGGCTATCAAGGTAAGGTTAACTAGTTAACTCACTAAATATCTAACTGTTCAGAATTACTCCGGGTGGCCCTGTCTGTCCATCCTGCACTGCAAATCTGATTGAGACAATAGTGTTGTCGCAGGAAGCGAGCTAATCATCTGAAAGAAAGATATTCTCATTTCCGCCCCCGCCCGTGATCGAAGGGGCGCGGGCTGGGTTGGGAAAGAAAGTCGATCTTTATTGTTCCCAATAGTTCGCTCGCAGGTTCATGTGCTTGATTGAAATTGACCACGCAAGTCGAATGGAAGGCATGGGAAAAATTCTGCCTTACAGTAGTTCGGTGGCTCGGACCCCTGGGATGTCGCAAGGTAAGCAGTGCCGGGCGATCATGTCTAGAATTTTACCTTTCGAGCCGGATGTGTGCGGGTGAGTTGAGCAAGGTAGGAGTAGTAGGCAGGTGTTTATTCTATCCACTTCTCTCTCGACCCTACATACAGTATCTACATACCTTATTACGCTTCTTAGTATGTATCTACAGTTGTACTGTTGCTCCTACTTATCTGGGAGTAGCGACCGAGCAAGGTCAACTGATTTCCGGTGGATTGCTCCGGCTGGGCGCGGGAATCCCGGCCCTGATGGAAGAAGAGGCTGCGATAATAGTAGAAAGAAGCCCGTGTCGGATCATTCTAGTCTTACTCATATTGTAGAAAGTTACTTTAGGTTGGGGGCAGAAATGAGTGAGTGCAGTTCGCAATGTAGTCAGACATGACGATCTGATTATCATGTAATGTGTTATGTGTTATTGTTATTGTTGCTGCTGCTGCTGCTGCTGTTGTTAGAGTAAGATGATAATAATTATCATTATTATTATCCCCTTTCTTATTTCTCCTACCCGAACAGTTGGTCTTCCCAGTATGGAGCATTTGACCACAAAAATCCATCCATTCATGCGACTGTTGGCTCGTCTCGGGCATGTCACAACGCGACACTCTCAACGAGAACGAGGGCCGATCGTCATCGTCGGACTGTGCCGCGGGATGATCGATCGAGGCATCTGTAGAAGACCTGGTTGCCTACCTTGTTTCTTCTTTCTGCTGCTTATCATATCATTAGTTACCAAGGTTAGCAAGGGAAGCCTTACCAAGAATTCATCTACTTCTTTCCACACTAGCGAGCAGAGACTGAGAAAGAGAGAGAGAGAGGAACGTGGGGAAATGTGAGATGTCAACTTTTCGGATTAATTTGTCAAGCCCCCAATAGAGAGAGAGGCTGTTGCTGACTGCAGGCTAGTCTAAGAAGAGAAGAGGAGGAGGGGGGAGAAGGAAAGTGGGCAGGCAAGTCGGAGGAGTGGAAACGAGAAGCGAAACTGTGGTTAGTGAGTTAACAGGATTACTAGTATTATGTCTGACAGAAGAGTGGATTCATGGATCGGGGCAGGGACTATTGTTTCCACCAGTTTGGCGCCGGTGGATTCGGGGATGGTGAGGGACGCTGGTGTCGCAGGTGCGTCGCCACCAGGGGGGATGGAGGAACCAGGCTCTCTTTTCCTTTCCCCCAATTCTATCCACCCTGCGTCGGACGCCGACGATAGTTTGTTGGCACGGGATGGATGGATGGCTGTGTGTCAGTCATCCACTACTTACTGTACCCTCCACTACAGAACAAGGCTGTCATATTCACCACTTTCACTCGAGCAAAAATATAGTATTTAGTAGGAGAGAAAAGAAGGTAGCGATGAGAATGAACATGGAAGAATCATCTTGTGCCATCTGCTACACTCTCAAAACGAGTGCAAAATTCCTAGCAGGTGACTGGCTCGGGAATTCCCAAATGTTCCAGCTGTCTCACAGGCCAGCGGCAGTTCCTGGATCTCCATAGGCCGGATCCCGGATGGGTCGCAGGGAAGAGCCCCTACCTTGTCTTCAGTTGGATGGAACACGATGGTCGGGCCAAGAGACGAACTAAACTGGTTAAGTTGTACCTTTGTCTGGTGCGTGTCTGGTGTGCGTGTGTGTCTGGACTCTTCAAGAGTAATCTTCTGTTCTTTCTTGTTTCTCCCCCCCTCCCCTCCCCTCCTCTACTATCCTCCTAACACATGATAGTATGTTGGCTAAATACGTATAGACAGGGGAGGGAGAAGAAAGATAAAAAAAGAAAGAGATACGGGAGAGTAGGCCAGGGTTTGGTTTTAGAAACATCTAGAGTGAAGACCACAGATACATCTCTTACACCATGGAAGTGAGGATAAAAATCCCAGGTGTCATCTTATCATGCCAGCCCGATGACAAGACACAAGAGAGTACTAGGTAGGAGAAAAAGAAAGAGGTGTGTGGTACTACAGTCCAACCGATGTGAACCCGAGGCGATCAGCAGCAACCGCCAATTGTCACAAAAGTGTCACATCATCGGCGGACAAGCCCTGGGCGGAAACAAACCATGTCTCAGCTGGTGCCAATCAAGTGGGAATTCTGCTCCACTTGGTCTGAGCATTTTCAGGAGATTATTGGGATGGATCCCAGTCTGGTTTTCTATTTTTCTCTTCTTGTCTGTCTGTCTGTCTGTCTTGTGTTTCTTGTACACAAGTAATTCTTCATTATTATTCTTGTTATTTTCTATTTTACTTGTTATAGTATATTCGTATTAGGAGAGATTACTGGGTGTTCATCTTCCTTTCTCAGGTACTCCGTAGATTAGTAGGTATTCTTTCAACCAGCTTGTTGCATGCTCTCTCTTTCTTCTTTCTCCTTCAATGGTTTCGAACTAAGAGTCCCTAATGCTCCTAGCGACCAGGATCTCTTCTGGTTCTTGATATCGTATCCATTATTTTCTTCTTTTTTTAATTAATTAATACTTTCCCATATTTTTCTTTTTCCATTTCTTTTTTACTTTTATTATTATGATAATTCTAGTAAAGTAAGTCCAAGTCTCGTCTTCTTCCCCACATCCATTCATTCAAGGTCTTGGTCGCCTCCATTGCAGCCCAATTAATTCCCACTCCCTCGTTTGATGATGATTATTTCTCCTGCTCGTTTCTCGCCTGTTCTCCGTCCTGGGTTTTAGGTTTCTTTCTTTTCTCTCTTCTATTTTTCCGTGTTTCTCATTTCTTTCTTCCCATTTCCCTTTTTTTCCCTTATTTTTATTTCGCTTATTATCAATCATAATTTCCTGGCTCCAACCCTGCCGCGTGTTCGGATTGAATGGCACGGTCCAACTGATAGCCCTTTCATCGTTCTGGCTACTAGTGCCAACCCTCTTCTGCCACCGTCTCATCGAGATTGAATCGACCTGTTGGATTTCCCTTCGCCCTCCCCGATCCATCCATCCCGCTTCCATACCAGACAACTTTGCCCCATACCGCCCTCCCAACTAATACCTACCTTACTTACTAGTTAGTCCACCTTCTGCTGCTGCTTCTTCTTCTCCATCATCCATACAATTTATCCTCCCTCGCTCGGGTCTGGCTCTTCTCAGCCTTCTTTTTCTTCCTTCCTCTTCCCCTCTTCCTCATTTTTGCCTTTTACTGTTATTTTTGCTTTTTCTACTTTCCCTCTCTCTACCTGTTCTTCCTTCTCTCTACTTCTTATTAGCTTCCTTTTTTCCCCTTCCACATTTCTTCCTTGAATATCATTATTATATCAGCATTATCGTGTTATCCTCAATATTGATTCCCCCCCTCCTTCCATCCTTCCCCTCCTTCTTCTCGGGCCATTTACCTACCTCGCATGGGGGCCAGACCTGTCGAGATCCGCTTCCACCACACTATCGCTTTGTCGCTCTGGATCACCACCACCCCCCCCGGCCTGACCGACCTCTAACCGTTGTCACACTGCCGCCGGCCAGCCTTAGCTAACCGCCTCCCTCAAGTATCTGACCACTCCCCGTCGTTGTCACCTCCCACCACCTGTTTGACGACTTTTTCCTGGGGTGCCACATTGAACGTTGATCTCTTCCTCCTTCTCCCCCTCCGTCCTCCGTGCCTTTCCGTTGTTCGGGCTGGATCCGTCGGTCTCTTGAAAGCTGCTTCCGCCCCCATTCCAGAGCTCAACCTCGACCTCGCCTCCCCCGAAGACCAATATTAGCCGCCTCCGCTACCGAGCTCTCAAATCCGCGCGCGCTTTCATCCGATCTCGCCCTACCACCCCCATAATTCCAGCGCTTGTTAGAGAAAGCTTGATACTCCACCTGCTCCAGGCTGTGAGACGTTGGGTGGCACAGTTCTTAGCACCGTACAGGAACACGTTATATAGTCGGTGGCTGTGTGAGACAGCTCCCGAGGGGGAATTTTTCTTTTCTTTTCCTCTTTCGCCAGCTTATATCGGTTTGACGGCTGCACCGTCCCTTTGATTCGACTGCTTCCTCTGGTCAGCCGTGTGCTTTCGCCAAGGAGTTTCCCGCTCCTTTGTGTCCTGTCGAATTCGTCACCCTTCGTTGTCATTATGTCGACCGCGGTTGCGCCTGCCCAGGCTGCTCCGCTCACGTCTCCGCGTATGACCCGCGATATCAGTCCGAAAAATTGCCCAACACTGGCGCCTGCATCTTCAGGTAACCAGACGAGTACCACGCCGCCGCGCCCATCCGGTGTCTCTCGGGATGTGTCGTCGGCCAAAAGCTCGCCTGCAGGAAAGAAACCGACCTCCCCTTCGTAAGTATCCTACCCGATAGTCGCTGGCTGAATCGCCGTTGCAGATTGCTGACCTTTCAGCAGATCACAGGCCGGATCCACTGCGAGTCGAGTTATCGTGAAAAAGGAACCTCCGTCCTCCCCGGCAATGCAGTCTCATACTAGACCTCGCCCTCGCAGATTAGACCTTTCCAGTAGCCTTCCGACTTCGGGGGGCTTGTCCGCCCGGCCTCCTGGCGGCCCTATGACTGCGAGAGAGGGTGTCAACATGCAAGAGGTCGGGATCGCTTGTCTGTCCCCGGGTTTTCAAACACATGACCCTGTGATGAGGGAGCAGCTGCAGCGGAGCTTATCGGTTCGGGATCAGCAGCGCTCAATAATCGAATCGCGTTTACAGAAGTCCGCCAAGGATGACGGGCCCGATGGAATCAAGCCATCTGAATCATTCGGCCTTCCCCGGGTCGGTGCATCGAAGAGAAGACCCCCGCCTGGCCTCTCCATCGTGCCTCCTTCCGCAGCCCAATTTGCCAGTGAACGTGTCATCCAATCTGCGCCATTGAATCAGACCTTCACGGGCCGAAACGAAGCGCAGCCCTTAACCCGTCATGTTGTTAACCAAAGCCCAACTTTGGGGTCCACATCTCACATCCATCACCTTCCTGCTACGCAAACAACCAACCGCTTGCCCCCGCTGTCTGACGTCTTTGGAAATGAGGCGTTGGGCCGCGATCGCGAGGCAAACCGGGGACTATATTACCCCAGCGCGACAGCTGCCAACCCGCCTCAATCGAACAATCTTCCCCCAATTCCCTCCCCTCGCATCTCCCGGGATGCCGCTCAACCGCCCAAGCGCCCCAGGGAGTACCGTTCCGCCGAGGAAGCTGTCCAGGAATTGTCAGGTGGGCGCGAGGAGCTTCTGCCGCGCATTGTACATTACGGCGGTCACCAACCCCCGACTCCACCATCTCCCCGTGTGGCTAACGGACCACCAAAGTCTGGAGTGCCTCACTCGGATGCTACGCCCATGACGAACGCGCACCCCCCGCAGCCGTCATTGTACCCATCCGAGGGTACTGCTCGGCGCCGCTCGAGAAACGAGTACGAACATGAGCACGGCAGCCCGCCCTTGGGCCACGGCCCCGACCCACATTATCGCCCTAACCCAGCCTTGGCCTCTGGTGCAAGTGCCACCTATGGCCCATTTGGGGCTGGGAGAGACTCGCCCGAGACCCAGCGCAGAAAGAAGGAAGAATTCCTTAGTCTCTGCGCACGTGCCTGGGACTTATTCCATTCTTAATCCATGACCAATTGCTTAGGGTCTCCCTACGCAATTTGATTTGGCCCGTCGCTATGAATGCACTCTCAAATACCGCCAATCTTCCCTCATGCGCTGTTCGGTGTGGTCAGGACTTGAGAAAATATGGACAGGCACGACCCAGCAGAAGGTGCTTATTTGGGAGCAATCACCCACGGCTGAACTGCGGGCCCACAAAAACAGCAGATTTAACGTGTGGAGGGAGTGTGTCTGAAGAATAGTATTTATTCTAGACATGATGCATATGCCAAACTACACGACTACCTATATGAACCGCATGAACAGTCGCTCTTTGAAAAGAACGGAAGGGTGGATCCCGTCCCTTCAATCTCATCCCTTTTACCCTTTTTGCATCTTATACCATGTTAGGCCAGACGCCTTCATTGTTTGCCATTGATTCCAGTGTTTATTTCTATTCGATCATCATTCAATCTCTTCTCTTTTATTGCCCTTTTTCTCCGAAGTTCTCCTCGAGGGGAGCTTGCTTTGTTCTGGACATGAGGCGTTATTTTGTTATGGGTTTAAAATCATGTTCTTCGAAGAATCATGTCTATATTGTTTCGAGGACCTCAGATTTCGGTGATCCTTGCGTCATTGACTTATGGCTTGTTGCGATACCATTTGATTGTTTGCTTGTGTTTACGCGTCTGATTATCTTGGTACAGCAATAGTTATTGGATGTTGGTTGTTCGCCATCTGGCAGTGATAATATGTTCTTCATTTCTTTTACTCTGACTAAGCTGCAAGTACGCCTGGAAGGAATAGGTCGGTTTTGGATAATGATTAGTAATACGGTGTCTATATACACACTCCCGGTCTGTCGGCGTGGAAGTCATATCCTGAAAAGAATTTTGTAGAGAATATATGCCTATGCAGTTGTGAACTATATACAATATAATGAGCCAGGCATCAGGATCAGACAAGCTCCAGCACCTATGCAACTCGGCGGCGTTTCCAGCCACCACCACCTCCACCGCCACTCGGCGCATCGTCGCCAGCCAAGGCTCTCCGCTCCATGGGCATCTCCTTTCTCTCCTTGGCTGCAGTCTTCTTGCGCTTCCTTTCGAGTGCCTTGGTGCGGTCCTTGGAGTTCATATTCTCGTACTTCTTGAGCAGCACCTGCTTCTTCAGGTCCGACTTCTTCAAGAAGTACGGGTTGCTCTTCTTTCCTTCCCGGATGAGCTGCTTCTCCTTCTTCTTATGCTCCGCTAAGACCTCCTTCTCGCGTTTCCTGTTCTCCATCGCTCGAAGACGGTCTTGAGTCGACCGAATCGTACGCTTCAGAGCTTCTTTCTGTTCCTGGTTCTTTGTCTTGGCATATTGGTCCTTCAACTGCTTCAGCTCATCCCGGCGATACTCGTCCAAGAATGCGTATGCGTTGCTCGCTGCCTGAGGGTTTCCGCGGCCACCCTGGCTCAAGACAGTCGGGTCAAAGCGGGGGTCTCGCGACTTGGGCACACTCGGCGGCTCAATGATTGTCCGTTTGCGGGAGACGGCATGTTTGGAGGATTGTACGGCCGGCGCATGTTTGGAGGAACGGGAATGCTTTTCAGAGTCCTTGTTTTTCGACAGCGCTTGACGTTTCTGTTCGCGCGCCTCTTGAATCCGCGCCCGAATGTCGTCTAAGGGGGAAGGAGCGGCAGGGTCCTCTTCTGTCTTGGAGGCCTTGGATGACCGCTTCGATTTGGGGCCTATGGATGCTTGTGCTTTCGCCAATGCGCCGAATGAGATGCTGCTTAGTGAGGCTTGAACGTCGTCTTGGGGATCGTCGCTGTCGTCTTCGTCATCTTCGTCGTCCTCCTCGTCATCATCCATATCTTCCGGGTCGCCTTGAGACTGCGAAATAGTCAGCATGTTGTGACGTCTATCCAAAGAATAGGGAACCAACCACATCGTCATCGTCGTCTTCGTCTAGGGAACCATCACTGCCACTCTCTGAGCCCGACTCGTCAGAGCGGAGATCGTCGCTAGCCTGCTCCGAGCCAGACTGGTCAGAATAGAGCTCCTCATCATCCTGAGCGACAGCTCGCACGCGGCGGTTCAATAGGTCTGAAATAGCCATATTGCAGTTCTTGGATGGGGGATGTATAACCGTATTTAGTTCATGCAAGGTGAGATGAAAACCCAAGCTGGCCGGGCGGTGAGATCGGCGGCCGAAAAAAAAATGAGGCCGTTCTGCCGTTCCTGGAAGGCGGCGATCAGGGCGTCTCCACCTTGATTGGCCAGATCCCCCGATAAGTAGGTCACTTTTTCTGCCTCCGCATATCTTCTATCTTTCTTTTATCGTTGGCTGCTCTCATCCTCTTCACTCTCCCTCCTGCGTCGCGGCGGATTCCTACTTCGGTCGCTCATCTTCCAGGAATCTTCCATTCATGTTGCGAGTACGCCAATGCTGCAGATTCCCTCTTTTCCCTTTGATTGCTATAAAGCCCCACCCCGCCCCGATAGTCCCCTCTCCTGATCGCAAGTTTCATAGTGGGGTGTCCTTCAAGGTGTGTGCTATTGGACTAGAATAATCGGATATCTGTATTGCTAACACCATTGAATAGGTTGCTCTGGGAACAACCAGCGCTCATTATACACCTGTTACTTTCCGCACATGCTATCATAAATCCTCGAATTTACCCCAGTTCTCTGTCCGCAACAACCGGTCCATTGAGTCCGACATGGATTCAACAAACGCATCGGCATTCGACGCCTCCAGTATGGACAGTCGCGTTTGCCATGATGGTTCCAATTCTTCTGTGGTGGGAGATGAAAAGCCTGCCTGGAGACCGTATAAAGACCGCTGGGCTCGTCAGAAAATGAGGAATACCAAGCGCAACGGCACAGAGGATTCCGGCACGACGGCTCCAGGAAATGCTCCCCCATCTGCTCGTCCGCGGCAAAAGCTACCACGACGGAGCAAACAGTTAGCCGAAAAGAACATTCGGGAAGAGATGCAATCACAAGCATCACAGTCTGCCAATACAGCGTCCTATGCACCAGGTCATCCATCCCAGAACAGCTTTGGGGCATTTGACAACTTCAATCTGGCACCTATGTTTCTCCCGTTCCAGAACGGCACGGCTGCGTCGAACGAAACTTTCCCAGGGTTTCAGCAGCCTTTCTGGCAGCTCCCATTGGAGCAACAGCAACAGCTTCTTCAAGCTCCTTTGGGTGAGCCCACTAATCCTTCTTTCGGTTTCCCTCCGTTGAATGACATGAGTGCGTTCCCTGGTGGATTGCCTCCCATGTTTCCGCCTGCCTTCATGAACTTTGCGCCAACGAATCCATTGATGACAATGCCGCCATTCGGGCCCATGGCATTCCCAGCAGCTGGCTCTGCTGGAGTCAATACCCGCAACATGTCCAGTCAGGTTCCATCGCCACGCCCGGGGTCTTCATCCAAGGCACGCGCTAGTCCTCGCCCTCGTTCCAAGAAGTTCGAGTCTCCGACACCACCTAAAAGAGCTCTTCCAACACCGGCATACATTGAGCAGTCATCGAAACCAGCCAAACGGAATTCCTGGAAACAGCCTTTACTAGTCATCTTGGACTTGAACGGCACGCTCGTCCATCGGCCTGACCGGTACATGCCGCCTCGATTCAAGCGAAGAGCGGGACTAGACATCTTTATACAGACATTGATGCAGAAATACAAAGTCATGATATGGTCGAGTGCCCGTCCCCCCACCGTCGACGGCATTTGCCGCCAACTCTTCATCAATGACAGCCGGACGCAAATCGTCGCCGAATGGCACCGCGAACACTTCAACCTCACACCACAGCAATACGATGCCAAAATCCAGGTCTACAAAACCCTCAGTACCGTCTGGGCTGACGAAAAGGTCCAAGCATCATACCCCAGCCCTGAAAGCCTAGGCCAGTCCGTACCTGCAACCTTCCAAAAGACCCGATGGGATCAAACCAACACCATCTTAATCGATGACACCCGCCTCAAAGCAAGCAGCGAACCAAGCAATCTCCTCGAAATCCCCACCTTCGATGGACACTCCGGCGCAGAAGATGCCGCCACATTAACAAAGGTCCTCCAAATGCTCGAGGAGCTATCATTACACGACGACGTCAGCCAAGTCCTCCACAAATGGTACAATTCGATCCCCAAAACTGGCAACTTGTGCCTCGACATCAAGCTCCAAGAAGACGCCGAAGCCCAACAACAACCTGAAATCACCCAACAACCCCAACCCCAACCCAAACCCAACGACGTTCCCCTCACCCCAGCTGAAATCGCCGAGGCACGCAAACAACGCCGCAAAGCCCGCAAGCGCGAAAAGACCGCCGAGAAAGCCAGGGCCCGTCAGATTCAGAAGCAAGAAGATCGTCTTGCCGCTAAAGCGAAAAAGCAACCACCACCTCCTCCTACATCTATCCCAGTGGCCGCCGCCGTCTCTTCTACCGTCGATGAAACGAATACCGTCACACCACATACATACCCTTCCTCATTTCCTCCTCCCTCCCCATCATCGCCTTCATCTGACTCATCACCGGGTGGCACTGCCATACCATCGGGACTTGATCTAAATGAAAACGCCAGTAATACTTTGCGTGACGGTGATGCAAGTGATCGTTCGCCATCACCTGCCGCTTCGACCCAGTCTGAGAACTATCTCTTGGATCGGTTGGAGGAGTCGTTGAAGACTTGATTGGGGTTCCTTTTCATGTTGTTTTTCTTCATTATCTGTCTGCAATTGATATCATATTCTGTATTGTGGGAGGTGGGTATTCCACATGATATGTGAATGGTGCATGCATCCACTCATGGCATGAGTCAGGAACAATCTCCAGAGAAAGAGCAAAGGGGCTGGCTGGGCTGGGACCAGCTGGGTTACTGTATGGTATGCACATAGTTTTGTATCACGAAGGGGGTTACTATGAATGAAGTACATACGGGATGTTGATATGGCATATAGAGCATCATATACCAAACAATGATTACAATACTGATTTACTAAGGAAGAAGAGGAAGTCATGATCATGGAAAGCACAAAGTGCTAGTGGGTTTGTTTTTGACTAGCTACTGCTATGGTCCATATCAATCGTAAGCGTGGCATTACGCGTGAAATAAATAGAGAA